GGTGAGCAAAACTAAATTCAACTAAAAACGGTCATTTTTTTTTTCAAATTTAGAGTTAATCAAATTGAGTTCTTTGGTTTTTCGAATCAACTTGATCAAGTAATTAGAGTTTTTGAGTTCAAGTTTAGGGTTTATTTTACAACTAGAATATCTGAGAAATTGATTAACAAATTGGTGTAATTACCCCTTGGGTCCCTGTCAATTTAAAAAAATGAGCAAATTGTCCCCTTTCAACAAAAAGTTCAAAATAATTTTCAATTTTTCAAAAAAAGAAAAATAAAGAAGGTTTTCCATGAATTTATTAAAAAACATAAAAATTATAATTTTTCCATCATTTGTGAATAATATCTTTTGACTAGGATCACAAAGCTCTTAATATATATTTACTAAGTGCTTATCAACATGAGGATTCCATCTTACAAGATCCTAGAGGTGAAGATGCATGGAGTTCATAACCATTTTGAAGATGCTACACATTTATTCTTTCTTAATCAGTTATTGAGCTGGTATGTCTAGTGGGCTTTGTGGGAGGATGGATATGTGATATACCGCATTGCTATGTTTGATTTGGTTGTTTGCTTTCCGTGAACATGACAAGAGACCATTTTTCTCGCTATTATATGATGGCCTTCAGTTCGTTTCTTTTATGCATGAAGACAATATGATAATCCAGACCTTATTTTTCAGTTGTTGTTGACAGTTTATTTGCCTTAGTATTTCATTGCCGTCTTCCTTTTGAGACATTTTTTTATGCCAGGGAACTTTACAGTAATAACATAAGTGGACCAATTCCTAGTGATCTTGGGAATTTGACTAGCTTGGTGAGCTTGGATCTTTATTTGAATAGTTTTAGTGGTCCTATTCCAGAATCCTTGGGCAGGCTGTCAAAATTGCGATTCCTGTGAGTATATTTGCTTTGCAGCTATTCTGCCCCTCTTTATTTTTGTTTATTATATGTTGAGTTGCATGTAATACTGAGAGCTAAGTCTTACTTTTAGAATCATGTTATGGGCAAAACAGAAGTATACTTGATTTGAGGTGAACAAAGAAACAGAAACAATTTATATATTTACTAGTATTTGTTTAATTAAGATATAATCAAGTGTCTGATATTATGCCCCTCCCTCCACCACACACTCACACATGCATGCGCACACTCGACAGAATGCTCAGTATTCAGAAGTAATATTTTAATTAGTCTGACATCAGCATGTGCAAGTTCATAGCATTGAGTTTCTTCGTTAACTACAATTGTCTGGTCAATTTTTTTGCTGTAAGTTGTTTGGTTAAATTTCCTTTTACTAAAAACATCCAGGAGTAATTGAAACTGACATTTAAAAGCTAAAATAAAATTTTCCATGGTCGATTCCCCCCAGTAAACTTGAGTATGCAGGTTCAGCGTTGGTAAGTGTCATACATGTACTCACATTGCCAGGGATGATACTGGTTGAGCAACTGAAGCTTAAAATAAATAGCTTTGTTTAGTTATGATTTTGAATGGCTGTTATAGGTTAAAGTTTGCTTGATATAACATCGCGTGATTTATTTAGATCTTAACTTCTATTGTTGAAACTTTTGTGCGAGGATAGCCGACTTAACAACAACACCTTGACGGGTCCTATCCCTTTGACATTAACTAATATCACGTCTCTTCAAGTCTTGTGAGTGCTAAACTTGTTTCTTTTCTCAAGAACTATAACTCTTTTTTCTCTTCTGAGATATAATCTAGCACTACTCATACATCCACAAATTGCACTGTGAAATGCAGGGATCTTTCTAATAATCATCTCTCTGGTGAGGTTCCAGATAATGGCTCCTTCTCACTATTCACTCCCATCAGGTTGGTTTTTAATGATCTGAATTCTGCTTTTCTAGACTTACAAATTGGGGAACCTTAGGTGTTTGTTGTTCCATATGCAGTTTTGCTAACAACTTGGATCTGTGTGGCCCGGTTACTGGACGTCCATGCCCAGGATCGCCTCCCTTTTCTCCTCCTCCTCCTTTTGTTCCACCACCACCAATCTCTATACAGAGTAATCTTCCTTTGATATCATATTTCAAATCTATTGAGCTGCCTTTCATGGTCTCTATGCGCAGTTTTTATTTATTTTTGTTGCTATTCTTGCGGTCGGACTGTTTTAGTTCTGCTTGACATTATATAATCTGCCAAACTTTACTTTTTAGCATTTTATCCCCATAATTCTTTGATTTTGTGGCATGCATGTAACGTCAATTAGGGAAATTTATCCCCCTGCCCTTTTCTTCCGGGTGAATTTCATCTCAGTTTGCACATCCGGCCCTTTAGTTCCAACTTTAAATGAATTGCATCATTATGATCATTTATTGTGATGAGATGTAGTTAACAATAGTTCCTTTCAATGAAGAACTGTGTATGTAAATTTCCTGTGATTTGATGCGTTCTCTTGGTTCTAGTGCAAAGGGAGTGGCTCTTATGTTTTGCATCAGATGTTATAACTTTTCATCTTATAATATTTTAGGTGGGAATAGTGTCACTGGTGCAATAGCTGGAGGAGTTGCAGCAGGTGCTGCCTTACTGTTTGCTGCTCCTGCAATTGCATTTGCATGGTGGCGCCGGCGGAAGCCACAGGAATTTTTCTTTGATGTACCTGGTTAGTTCCATAAATTGAACTTTTACTGGGTTGATGGCTTCAAGTGTTGGTTGCAGTTATAGTATCAATTGTTTACATGTCTTTGCAGCGGAGGAGGACCCAGAAGTGCATCTTGGGCAGCTGAAGAGGTTTTCATTACGAGAACTACAAGTTGCCACTGACAGTTTTAGCCACAAAAATATTCTTGGTAGAGGTGGATTTGGTAAGGTTTACAAAGGACGATTAGCTGATGGTTCACTGGTGGCTGTTAAAAGATTAAAAGAAGAGCGCACACCTGGTGGGGAGTTACAGTTTCAAACAGAGGTAGAGATGATCAGCATGGCTGTGCATCGGAATCTACTAAGGCTGCGTGGATTTTGTATGACACCAACTGAACGGTTACTTGTTTATCCTTACATGGCTAATGGGAGTGTTGCATCATGTTTAAGAGGTAAAGCCAACAAGTTTCAGTGGTCTAATTCCTTATTTTTTTTCCTTTGAGCAGGTGGAGGGTCTGAAATTGTTATAACCAATTAACTTTTAATCTGTAAACATCTAGCATTGCTTTCCGTCTGGACTATATTTACTTGTTTTCTTGCTTTGTTGTAGAACGTTCTCCATCACAGCCTCCACTTGATTGGCCAACACGGAAGAGAATAGCATTGGGATCTGCTAGAGGTCTATCTTATTTGCATGATCACTGTGACCCAAAGATCATTCATCGTGATGTAAAAGCTGCAAATATTTTGTTGGATGAGGAGTTTGAAGCTGTTGTTGGTGACTTTGGGTTGGCTAAACTTATGGACTACAAGGATACCCATGTAACTACGGCTGTACGTGGCACAATTGGACATATTGCTCCTGAGTATCTCTCTACAGGGAAATCTTCGGAGAAAACTGATGTTTTTGGCTATGGCATAATGCTTCTGGAGCTTATCACTGGACAGCGGGCCTTTGATCTTGCTCGGCTTGCAAATGATGATGATGTCATGTTGCTTGATTGGGTATGCATATCTTTATTTTTTGCTACATTAGTCTTCATGTAACTGATCTGTTTACAATATTCTTGATTCTTATCTCCTTAAATGATAATCCATCCACTTCTCAATTGCTTCCTTGATAGCTGCCTGATTCTCATTATCATACATTTCTTGTCCCTGGGGATATGTTAAGCTGTCAGATTGATATTAGTTTTGATGCCATGTGACAATAAAACAAACTACGTTGTCTCCAAGAGAAACAAATCTTTCAAAAATTGAGAAAGCAATGAGATTATGTATGCTTGTGTTGCAATGCACCAGCTATAGGAAGGAGGTGAAGATGCTAAGGATGGCAAGAACTAGTTGATTCTTCTTAAGGGACTCACAGTGTGTTTCACACTGGCTGATTCTGTTGATCCATTTTTCTTTTTCAGGTCAAAGGTCTTCTGAAGGAGAAGAAGCTGGAGTTGCTAGTCGATCCTGATCTCCAGACCAACTATGTAGATACCGAGGTAGAGCAGTTAATCCAGGTTGCGTTGCTATGCACACAAGGTTCCCCAATGGACCGGCCTAAGATGTCGGAAGTAGTTAGGATGCTGGAAGGTGATGGGTTGGCTGAGAGGTGGGATGAGTGGCTAAAGGTTGAAGTTCTAAGGCAGGAGGTCGAACTTGCTCCGCATCCTAATTCTGATTGGATCGTGGACTCAACCGACAATCTACATGCTGTGGAGTTATCTGGTCCTAGGTGACCATGGCATGTCTACGGGAAAGAGGGAAAGTTTTTACTAGTTATTTTTTTAAGGTAACTTTTTTTTTTCATTTGATGGCCGTATCCTGATTTATGCCTCCTGTAAGTCCAGTTGTATTCATTACATTGTGCAATTTGTATCTTTCTCCTGCAGTTTGATGGTGTTTCCAAGTAGTTCCTGCTGTGGCAGTCAGTCTAACCCTTCTTTGCACTTCATCTGCTTCTAGTTTAATTCTTCGTACACAGTTTGTTACAAACAAACATGGAGAATGGGTCCTGGGTTCGGCGTCGAATTTTCTAGGGGATTTAATTTTTCCCTTTTTCATGAGTGGCAGTACACGTTTATAGCTTGATGTTCTGAACTTTTGCATACCTCTTATGTAATCGCAAGGGCTATACGCTGCTACTAATTGTCCAACACATGTCCAAAAGATCCGAGCAGCAATATTGGGGGTTTCTGCTTGTTTCTCCATTATTTTCTATCATAAGATAACATATTCTTTTCAAGTGTTTAATCACTAATTATGGCCTCATTGAAGCTAGTTTCAGAAAGAAACTTGTATTCCCAAATCATCTCAACTTTAAGCATCTTAAAGTTAGGTAAGTACCAGGCAGCCTGCCGTGATACACAACATACACCCTTGTTACTTTACAATAATATAAATCTTATAATTCAAACCTGCTCCAGGAAGCCTAAAAATAAGATGAACGGAAGGAATGGTTTCCCTTAATGGTGACTAGAATGGGAATTATCTTCAAAAGAACCATTGGGTCCAAGGTTCAAATTTTGTCTCCAGAAAAGGTTTGGATATGAGAAGATTTCATCATCCATTTAAGGCAATCTCAGTGGCTGGTGCTGAAGGTAATCCTGTTCAACGGCATGGTCACTGGAAACAGGTGAACTGAAACCCATTTTCAGTTTGTTGATTGAAGTAAGATCTGCGTCTGATGCTTGGTGTATCACCTGATGTTCTTGATGGGAGTCTGGAGAATATAAACCATCGGCATGATTACTGAAAGGATTCTCAAGACTGCTACTCTCAATGACCTGTTCATCTTTTTTCTGAGTAAGTTCAGCAATTCTAAGTTGAGCAAGACTTGCAGCCAAACGAGCTGCAGCTGCCGCATTCTCGGCAGTTTTAGCAGCTGCCTGAGCAGCAGCTAAAACATCGAGCAGGTCTATGTTGGCCTTACTTTTTGGTCTCAAAATAGCCGGGGGTGGATCACTTGGTCCTGCAGCAGAGATTGATGCAGGAGAAAATGGAGGAGAAATGAATGGCAGAAACTGTTTATTTTCTTTGGCTCCCACTGGATCATTGGACATTTCATTTTCTCTACTTGCAAAATTTTCTTGCATCAATTTATCAGGCTCCAAAGGTGACGTTTGTGATACATATCCAGAAGCTCTAGGTTTTCCAGATGATACACAATCAACTCCAGGCTTTGGAGCAGCTGGTGAAGGTGGGCTAATTCCTGGCGCTGACACAGCAATTTTTCTTGGCTGCAATGACACCTTAGGGACTTCAGGTAAATCTAATGGGTCAAAGTCTGCATCAGAATCAGGATGCTCAATTTGGGCATGATCAGCAGCAGAAATTGTTCCATTGTGTTTCTCTGCACGCAGGGGTAGCTTAGACCCGCTGACAAACTCAGTTGGGCCATTCTGACAAACATAAAGGCAACTCCAATGAGATAAGAATGGAAAACAAGAGTAATCAGAGTCTAAAATTACTTGCCAATAAATCTTCATGTGGTTTGAAAAACTCGGTCTCAGTGGAAACTGGATCCCACTCCAACTCATGCTCTTCAGCAATTTCTTTCAGAAGCTTCAATTTTATTTCGGGCAAAGGAGCACGTACAGATAACAATTCTATCAACTGCATTAAGAATTTACAAGAAGGCTGTCAACTAAAAGATTATAAAAATGACAATACACACTCTACCTATCAACAGCATTAAGAATTTACTAGAAGGCTGTCAACTAAAAGATTATAAAAATGAAAATACACACTCTACCTTCAAATTTATACTATCTGACGATTAACACCACAGTCTGGCCGGAGCTCAGTTGCGGCGGATACAAATTCCTTCCCATACTTGGAAGTAAATAACATTTGAACCTGCAACAACTCTGGTAGATCGGCACATCTTGGTGCAGCGAAGCAAATGCTGGATATCGCTTCTTTTAAATCTAGGGGACATTCCCTGAAAACAGATGGTTACTCGTTGTTTATTCTACAAAACATGGAACATTCTTGAATATTTGAGCAACTCCAGAAATTATCATAACTTATGAAGCTTCTATATTATTCAAGTAATAATATGTGATACTAATGTTCATAACCACATAAAAAAGGTGCTAATACTTCACATACGCAGCTGCTGAAAGGAAGCTCAAGATTTTAATATCCACATGAAATGCCTAGGAGAAGGGTATCATGATAGTTATAGAGAATTAACCGATTCAAACATTCAATAAACTATATTGAAGGTGAAACTACTCCCTCACTCAATTTCCAAAACCTCTTCTATAAATATTTGGTCCCATCCCTCAACCTAAATCGGACCTAAAGTTGAGATCAACAATTAGCTACATTGCAAAATTCATCCTACCAAACTAGGTGAGACTCAAAGGAACACAAATGCACATTAAGAATTAAAATCATTGAGAAAGAAAAAGAAAAAGAATGCAGAAATTTGAAGCAATAACATTTGAGTCTCTATGATTGGAAGACGGACAGCAATAAGCTCACAAAACAGCTCAAGGATTTCCTGAGCAGCCATTATATTCTCTTCCCTTATTATATGTTCCACCTGAAATCAAAACCCAAGCATTGCCTCTTAAAGCCATCAAATTCAATCAAAGCACTAAAGAAGTTGCGAAAAAAAAGAATCAGACTATCAAAAACATATATGCGCTTCACCAAACAATTTTTTTATAATGAAAATATATACTCGGATTCGAGCAGTAGCTTCTTGGCCAGTCTCAAGAAGCTTAACAATGTCGCGTCGCATCTGCTTTATTTGAATCTCTCTCCTATTCCTCAACAACTTTATCCGCGGAATTGTCAATTTTAGCAAAGTTTTGCTGCATATTTCCCAAAAACTATCAAACTTATGATTTGCTCGGGCTAAACTTTCAAAATTGATCAAACAAATATGTGAACAAAGTGAGGAAACAAGATAACATAAAAGGATTTAAAAAAAACAGCAAAAACGGGGGGAAATCAACAAATTAAGAAACGACAATGAAGAGGTACCAATTAGCTGCTTTGAAGCCTTTGTTGAAAAAGGAATCGAGCAAAGACATGATGAAAAGATGCGATCACAGAAAAAACCGAGACCAAGATAATAGGGAAAAGGGGATTGAAGAAAATGAGGTTCAGTATTAATAGAAGGTTCGAAGATATGAAAATGGGGATTAGCACCTTTTTCGCTTAGACATGAAGGTAAGCAATTTAGGATTTTTTTTTTATGAATTTTGGAATATTCAAGAGTTTTTTAAATTTTAATTTTTATTACCCATTATATATATATATAATATTTTAAGGCTTAATTAGAAAATAAGTGTCCAAACTATACCGTTTTTCTCAAATAGGTATACAATTTTTTTTTCAATTCATCCAGGTGTTTAACGTTACAGACATTACCACTTTAAGTGACTGGACCATAATGATAATTTTTACCATTAAAGGACACGAGTCACCTTTATAAAATTAAAAAAATTATTTAAATTAAAATTTTAAAAATATTAGTATACTTATAAAAAATCTTAATTTTTATAAATTATAAAAATCTCAAATCCCTAATCATGTCTTATATTTCTCCTTATTGTCATTAATCACCACCCTTGCTATCGCCGCCGCCGATTAATCACCCACCCATCATCGTTGCCCCCTTTCAATCTCAATGTTTCTCCATTTAAATCACGATTCGGGTTTATCGGTGGTTGTTCGTCGTATGGGTGGTTGTCTTATGGAAGCACACTCGGGGGTGGATTAAGTCAATGATAATGGTGATAGTAAAGGGTAACGACGATGTGGATATATGGATTAGATTTAGAATTTTTAAAGTTAGAGATTTTTTTTGGAGATTTTCAAAAATTTTGGGGGTTTTTAAAATATGTATATATAATTTCAAGTTTTTTTAAATTTTAAATAAAATTTTCAAAATTACCTGAATGAGACACATGTCATCTAACGGAGAAATTTAACAACTGTTAGGGTATGGACACCTAAAATGACAACTTTTGTAACGTTAGGAACTTGAATAGATCGAAAAAAAGTTTAAGCACTTATTTGAATAAAATGATATAGTTTGAGCACTTATTTTATAATTAAACCTTTATTTTATATATTTATATCACATTAATTGCTATTAGAATTATTTATTATTATTATTAGAGTAAATTATTTTTTGATCAATTTTATTTCATATCTTATTTTGATTCACTTTAAGAAATTAAAAAAATATTGCTTATAATATTTATAAATTATAAAATAATCACTTTAAGTAATGTAACACAGTCAGATTGATATGGGTGACCCGATCTAATTCGAGGTGTCACATTAGGGTCACCTGAGCGACCTATAGTAGAAAAATAAAATTTTAACTAATCAACTTTAAAATCGTAAAACATTTTTAATATACAAATAAATTCAGATATTAAAACAGAATTCAGTAATACATAGTGTAAAAAAAAATAAGTTTCAGACTTTAATATAAAAGCAAACTGTAACCTACATGCCCCTAATTACATGCACCGTACTCCTAAAGCAACGCCAGTGAAATTTTCATTGATGTTGGTAAAAGCACAAAATCATTTCTTTTAACTTGAAATGGTAAATAATAAAGTGAGCTTTGGAAAAGCTCAGTAATATAGAACTACAAAAAGATGCTAAAAGACAACAAATATATGGTAATACATGAAAATTTCCTTAGTGATATAGGTATCTACAGGCTCCAGAAAAGTCTTGAAATTTTATTAATTGATCCTCAGAGCAACATTTCAAAAGTATTTAGATCGAAATTATCTCGATGAATTTTACTATAATGCTCGCACTCTGGATACCTCATGTAACCCCCCAGACCGATGCGGGTAACCCGATCCGATCCGAGAAGTCACATTAGGGCCACCGGAGCGACCCACTGTAAAAATAGCGGAAAATTTAAAACTTTTTATCAGAACATGTAAACTCATAAAATCATTTATCAGTATTCAGAAATAAAATAGATTTCAGACTCGTATTTAAAACAAAATACAATTACATGCCCCCTAATCACATGTACCATACTCTGCAACAACGCCGGAAGAACTCCCTTACTGAAGTCGATAGATGCACTGGTACAATTGTTTTAACCTGAAAAGGTGAGTAATAGAGTGAGCTTTGGAAAGCTCAGTAATACAGAACTACCAGATGATGCTACATGACATGTAGATAAATGGAAAGCCATATAATTTCCTTATTGAATCATATGTATACCAGCTTGCAGAATAATTTGGGGTTCCCTTAGAAGTTCATCGAGTAGAAGCCATGAATCTAAGTTCATAAGAAACCTTTCAAAGTATGACATTTTCAGGAGATCGAATAGGATGTCTAGTGTGTTCCAACAGTATAATAAAATCATAATAGGTACAAATCATAGTCCAGTAAATCTCACAATTTCGTAAAAGAATTTAACTTTTGAAAATCATAGTTTAAACCCTTTTCTGGTACACCATCAGTAGTTCCCAAAATTATTTTCCATATAGCTTACTTTATGCACATAGCAAAAAGAAAGCCGACTTAAGGATAGGCTATGAAGCTTGTATCCTTAAGCCCAAGTCAATAAGTCCATATAGCTTACCCTAAGCACACAGCAAAGGAAAGCCGACCTAATGAAACATCTTGGGGCCCTCAAGAGTCACATTAGGCCCATTTAGCTTGATCAGAGCTATTCCATCGTAATTCAATTCCAAAATTCAATTGCACCGTGACATAAATTCCATAAATCCAAAAACATGGTAATCATATACCATTTCAAAACAAAAATTAGATAGCAGCCATATTCCATAAATTGTCACATTAAATTGGTGCATCCATAAAACAATAACCAATGAATTCGGTGTACCACATATTAAAACCAATAAAACAGTTCAGTAATAAGTAGGGAACACACTAGAGAATCCCAGTATTTCCAGAGGCCATTGTAGTTATCATTTTGGATAACATGAAACTTATGAAATTTGATCGAATTCCTGGAACAAGGTCCTATTGAGGAGAATCGATTACTAACCGATCTAGCCATACATTTAATGTTGATACATTAGAATCCCACTATATTTTCGTGTGCTTTAGGAAAACGTTCAGGAACCTTTATACATAATAATTCTAAATTCAGATTTACTGCGAGTGATTCCATTACCCAAACAATCAGGGGTATTCAGGAATATACTTTAAATTCATAGGATTTCAACCCAATTGAACCAAATGAGATATTCAGAATCTTTTCCATCTGCGTTACTTGTTTTTTTTTCAAACATGACCGAAGTGATTTTAGATGAAATATAGAATCGAAGATTCAAGTCATTTACAATCTACGACTATCGATCATATTATCAAACAACTCGAGTTACACAACTCTCAAACTGATGCATGTCAACAAGTCAATTCATTATCCTTCCAGTGTATTCACTCTTTAATACCATAGTGCAGATCCATAGATCATCCCCATAATCATCACTGAATAAATCTTCCAACGGTCTTTATTTCATTTCCACGTTTCAACAATATCAGGAAATACTGACGTACTTGATCCATGGCTCATAACCCATAATGACAATTCATCATGTAAGTTCAACAGTGTTTCCAAACTCATCAAATCACCTATTTAATCCTTACTCATTGATGTTACTTAGTTCGTTTGGTAAGCAAGTCTATCCCGATTACTTTAAAGTTTTCCAGAATAATTCAGACGTTTCTGAATTTCAAATACACGTTGTACTACATTTCATTTCAATTTATTCATATAATAAAGTTATTATGGTATTCGTGGTTGATTTGACTAACGACTACCCACTTATTAGTAATGTATGCTCTCTAGAGTTGAGCTGCGCCAAGTACTTCCAGAATTATCATCGATCCAAATTTGAGCAGATGAACAAACATTCAAGTGATACTTATATCATTCAGGTAATGATATAGTACTAACGTTGGTTAATCACTTAAGTTGCGTTTCACAACTTTTACTGGTAGCACAACATCCATGTTTATTTGGATTTCTTAATTAATCCAAGACATTTACTTATTCTAGGTCATAAGGGCATTTTGGTCATTTTGGTGCTTAACATTTTTTTCTATTCATTTCAAAGCTTGAGTATATCCATTCATTCATGAGCTTGGTGACATTCTTGAGTTATTTCCATTCCAGGGGTAATTTGGTCATTTTATAATTCTAGAATATTTCAATCATTTCCTTCCATCCGGTCTTATTATTTAATTCAATCTTATCATTTACTTCAGTCCTTTCGAACAATTCTGTCAGCAGAATACCTCCAATAAATTACTCTTCAAGTATTTACTCCTTATTCGAATATTTTCGGGTCAAGTGTCTTCTCAGATTTTACAAACGGAATATTATAAATTTTTCTGTACAAAGACAGGATCTTAACAATTAAATTCGTACTTAATCGAGTTAAGTACAAATCCTCAAAGTACTCTCTCATTCAGGGTCAATTCAGACTATTTTATCTCTCAAGGGCATTTTCATAATTTCTTAACCAAATAATTTCAATATTAGCACTTAACGAAAATAATTATAATTTAGAGATCCTATGATCAATTGCTTTCCCGAACATTCTTTGATTTTGAAATGATTCCTTCACAAACTCTCATAATTTTTCATCCAAGTATCTTTAACATTTAACCCTTGATGATATAAAATATAAGTTACAAATCCAGAGCTGATTTCTTTATCACCAATCACAAACTTGTAATTTAATTCTAACAATTATCAATCTCTTATCTTAGTCATTCGATCCGTATTCAGTTACAGAATTTCTACCACATTCATATCGAGTGAATAAATTATTCAACTCCACAAAAGTGACCAACATTATCTTATTCATGCATTTACCAATATCAACATGTTCCATAAAGCATAAAGAGGTAGTAAAGTATTACCTCAATTTTCGTGCAATACCGATCGACCATAAAAATTCCATCCGAATGCCTTTGATCTTCAATTCAACTTCAAATAATTCCTCAGATACATATCAACATAAATTATATCAGAAACGGAGCTTAATTGCGATAAACGGATCAAATCGGGTGATAAATCAGTGAAAGACGGCTTACTGGGTTCGAATTTGGCGAAACGGACTTCGGATTCGGATTCAGGACGTCGAAAGCATAAAATATGACTTTTCAGAAATTTGGAATTTT